GACTGTGTATTTTAATTTTGTCTCCTTCAAAACACCTGCGACGCCCATATACTGATACAATTAATAAAGCTAAAAATAATATCAATTATATATTTATTTATTATTATTTGTTGACCTTTTCGGTGGATTTACGTTATCAAATTAAGTGAAACACTTTTCTTTTCTTTTGTAATTCATCCCATCAGAATAGAGTGCATTCAGTAGCACTTAGCATGATGCTATTGCTGGCGGTCAACTGATGACACTCGAAATTTTCCACTATCGAGTAATTTTCCCTGGTAAATATCCCTTTCTAAGGACCGAAAAACACTTATTTTCACAATATCGTTATTAAAACTGCTCAGTAATGGCGTAGTTTTAATAATTAACAAATCTATAAAAGACTTTGCACTTACATTAGTATATTAGGTACCTATCACTTCAAGATTTGAGTTTCGTACGAAATGCATTTATCAGAGGAAGCAAACTAAAACCGAAATTTTCAAATCAAAAAGAATTTTTAATGAGACATTGGTGTGGATATAGAGCATTAGCATTTCTCTATCTGATTTTTAATATACTGTTTAAAATTATAAGTACTGATGGAAATTTCTTTTTATAATTCTAATTAATTGAAATATTACTACACTATATTTGCTACCACTATAAAAGTATTTTATGAAAATCTTTTATAGAATTATTATTTAAACTGAACCAATTACCACAATACCAGTAGAATGTATTAACATAATTATTTCAGTGTCATCTGCATTTTGATTCTCTATTGTTCCCTTAACCTAATAATTCCCCCATTCCTAACCTTTTCTCTATTAACTTTGCTTTTTAGTACAAAGCATATTTTTTGTATTTAATTTATACGGGTATAAATTAACCTAAATACCCCGAAATTAATAAAGCATTTGCATCAATAATAGTATAGCTCTTTTTTTACGGTTCCTCTAAATAAATAAATACTTTTATTCCATAAATTTTGCTTTTTAGTGTGTGTTTATTTCTTTGCAATTTCATTTAGTATCTGTAAACAAATTAAGTATCGTTGGCTTCAATAAAAGTATAGCTAATTTCTTACGTCTTCCTTAAACGAATTAGTACCACTTTCCCTTTAATTTTGCTATTATCTTAGCCTAATTTATTTTTCATTTCAATTACCATTGATTTAAAATTATTTTTCCTTTATAGAAACATGTTTTAAAAATACTACTATAAAAGAAAGAAAAAAGTTTTAGATAATTTTAGAAATACAAATTTGGTGAAGCAGTCCTCTCATGCTACTATGTTAAGGTTGTTCATTGAATTTATCTGACATAGCGAAAAATAATGAATATTAAATCACGTACAATAAACTCTTTTTCTTTTCAACAAGTAGATCTATAAGCAAGCAAATATCACTGATATTATCTGACGTTGTTTGAAAAAACAGAATCGTCTATAGTTCAATTTTTAACAATGGCTAACGCTTTAAAATCAGAAAATTCAATTTTGTTCTTTGCTCATCCCGCTGGAACAGCTCGTAATAGAATGTTCGAATGTCGACAGTGACCTTCCCTGTGCTTTGAACTATCAGAATGTCAAATTTAATCGCTCTCGGTCACATAAATAATTTACACAAGAATGAAATGAGAATGCATATTGTAAATTTTAATTATGAGTGATATGTTTTCCTCTGGAGTCCACTGTCAGAATACCTTGAATTTTAACTGGAGTTGTGTAGGGTAAAAATACAAGTTCTGATTGACTCCTTGCCACTTCAGGCAAAATTTATATCAATATTTTATAGAAAAATTGGTTTTGATAGTCAATCAAAATTTCGACCACTTTCTGACTAGCTAGAGTGCGCTGCTCTTAATTCCAACCAAGTTACAATTGTTTCCTAAATACAGCAAGCAACATTTATGGCTACTCAGAATTCCGTCACATTTCCGACATAAACAAATTTGTAAACACATAATTAGAAAATATTAAAACTACGTTTAACAAATAGACTGAAATAATTTAATTTTTTTCAGATTTGAAACGAAAAACGTAGGGCGCATCGCTTTAGTAATAAACTTCTATCATCACCCAAAATTCTTACGGCGTCTTTAAAAAAAGGACCGCTTTACGTTTCTCCCTTTAGGTCTGACAAAATTACAAATATTCTTCTTGAAAAACGTTTTGAAAACTTTTATTTTATCATTAGATAAAAAATTAAATGGATAAAAATACCTAAATTGATATCTAATGAAAAAACAATTAAAAAAAAATAGTTTAAATAAATATTAAGTTTTTTTCCTCAAAAATTAATTCATAAATAATATTTATGATGTACCACTGTTAATCTTATTTTTCTTTGATACAACGTGAGAAAAAAGAAACATCTGTTTTAGAATTTTTTAGATTCAGTGTTTTTCTTGCATAGTATTAATCGTTGTAGTGAAACAGTTTCGCAGGGGACAAATGAACGCGTTTCTCATCTAATACTTAATGAAGGAACTAATTCCGCTTTCCACTGTTAAATTATCTAATATAATATACATAGTGACACAGTATTAAGAGAAGAGAAAATATCAATACTTAGCATTGAAGAAGTATCAATACTTGGCATAGGAAAAGTAATCAAAGAAAAGGATTGATCCCCTGATTCTTTGGGAACAAAATAATACTACCACAACAAAGAATCGATGCTTTATAATAAAGATAATAAATTTCGATTTCCGCTTTAGTTTATTGAGAGTGATAAACTTTTTAATATAGATATTGATTTGTATTTCAGTAAATATTGGAATAATATTCAAAATAGTTAACCCTAATTAAAAGTTAGTATTTAAGGAATTACAACAACTAATACACTACATATTTCCTAATACTACATGATTCAGGTTGATTTTAATTTCAGGAAAACATATTTTTTAGAAATCCCCTTACCTGCCGATATACTCTACCCCCGATTTCTTGTATTATAGATCATCAACTTATCTTTTAAAACAGTGCAAACATGAAAAATTTTTAAATCTGTTTTTAAATTTTTTTATAAGCTTCAAAAGTTTATTTTTTCTGCAAGAATTTATGAAGCTCATAAAAAAATTCATAATTAGAGATATTAAAAATTTAAGGCACATTTCATAATCTCATAAAAACTGTATTGAAATAGGATGCATAATTTCCGAAGCAACATTAAAAGAACATGAGATTGTACAAGATTAGTAAAAAAAAAAATTCTTTTCATTTTATTTCTTATTATAATTGTACTTCTCTTTGTAAGCGCAAATTATAAACAGTTAAATATATTATATAAAAAATGAAAATATTCTCAGAGATTTAAAGCAAAAGGCAAATGTCACACAGATTCCAAACAGAAATTTGATCTCCAACATAAAAAAGATATGTTGTACATAGTTAATACAAAATATCTGTGTTATTGAATATTTATTTAAACTGAAAAAGTAAATAACTTTGAAAGCAAGCAAAAATTTTGTGTCCCATAGATTTCACGTTAAAGCGGTACCAAAATTTGGATTTATTGATACTGTAGGATATTGGATACAGAAAAAAAATTTTTTTTATCTGTATCAATATCTATATTTTATTAGAATTAGATATTGATACAGTATATATATATTTTATTAAAATTAGATATTGATACAGTATATATATATTTTATTAAAATTGAGATATTGATACAGATTATATATATTTTATTAAAAAAAAATTCTGTATTAATATCCTACGGCATCATTAAATCTAACTTTTGGTACCGGTTTAGCGTGAAATCTATGCAGCACCAAATTTTTGTTTGCTTTCAAAGTTATTTACTTCTTCAATTCAAATAAATAAATATTCAATAACACAGTCATTTTGTATTAATTACGTGTAACATATATTTTTTCTGTTGGAGATTAAATTTCTGTTCGGAATATGTTTAACATTTGCCTTTTGTTTCAAATCTCTGGCAATGCTCTCATTATTTATGTAATATATTTAACTTATTAAAATTTGCACTTAGAAAAAAAAAATTCTTTTCATTGTATTTCTCATTATAATTGTAAAAAATGGAAACATTCTTAGAGATTTGAAACAAAAGGCAAATGTTATACATATTTCGAACAGAAATTTAATATCAAACAGAAAAAATATATGTTACACATAGTTAATACAAAATGGCTGTGTTATTGAATATTTATTTATTTATCTGAACTAAAAACGTAAATAACTTTGAAAGCAAACAAAAATTTTGTGCCCCATAGATTTCACGCTAAAGCGGTACTAAAATTTAGATTTATTGCTACTGTAGGATATTGAGACAGTACTGATAGAAAAAAAAAATTTTTTTTTTCATCGGGTTTAAATTTAAGATTTCACAAAAAATACAACATTAAAAGGAACAGGTAGAAACGTAAAGTTTTCAAAGTTAAGCGATGGTTTATGAAGATTTATAATCTTTCTAGTAAAAAATTTAAAAAATAAAAGTAAAAAAAAAAACTTTGGTAGAACGTTGTGATGAAATAATGGGAAAAAATGTGACCCATAATAATAATGATAAACATGAATGAACCTGCTTTTGTGAATTAAGGAGTAAAATAAGCAGCTTAGAATGGGAGGGTTATTTTGGGAGCAATGGGCAAAAACTGTTGATCGCTACTACACATTAAAAATAAAAATGCTACATTTTCTTTATTATTTTAACACCGTTTACTTTGTGATGAATGGGAATGATGCTGAATTACAAGTCAAACACGTAATTTTTTGGGGAGAAAAAAAAAATTACAGCTGTGCCCAACTCATCGATCCCTGCATCTTTACAACCCCCCTCTGGAGTGGCTTTCTCTCTCTCTCTTAGTAGAAAAGTTCGGGGGCGGCCATTACTCTCGGTGAATCCTATAACACCCCCACTCATCCCCTCTCGTTTAATTTTAAAGGAAGATTCTCTAAATTAAAAAAAAAAAAAGTAAAAATCGGCTATATTTATATAGAGAATTTTCTCTATGGAGAGACGAGTGAATAGAGAGAGATGAAACACTGACCTGAAAATCTGTTCCTCCCTCGTCTCCTCATCTTGTTGGCGGGCGAAGACATTCCGCAATATGTTCTGTTCCTCCAAAGACAGGTGGCTGATGTCGACGCCCTCCATAATTGAGCCCCATGTCCTGGTGTACCCCTCTAGGGTCCCGTTCGTCGGACCTCCCAGTGCATTATCGAAAGACGGGGTACTCTTCTGGTAGCCATGCAGCCTGCTCGAATAGTCTGGTTTGTTGGCGTGAACGGACGCCAGAGGGCGTTCCACATTCGGATCGAGTCTATTCCCTAAGAAATTCCCTATCGAGTCAAGGAAATCCCTCTGACCGTGAGAAGAGGCAAGTGTGGACAGTGAGAGGGGAAAATACTGCAGCTACGCCTACATTTGTGACGACATAAACGTCAAAAAGATTCCCACTCTTCTCCATCAAATTCCGTAGCAAATATATTCGATAAAAAAATAAAATAACAAACAAAAAGTAAAAATTTATACGATGTTTGATAAAATTAATAAATAAAGTAATTAATTTGGGTGCAAACAGACAGGAGTTAACTTGTACTACAATCTGCATTTATTACGTAGTAACAGACCAATTAAAATTATTATTTAAATATTCTAATATCTTAACTATTTTTTTTAGAGTTTTTGTTTATTATGAAGTATAGAAGGATTTATTCATAATAATATAATGGATTGTATAAAGTTTTTTTTTTCTTTTTTCTTTTTCTAAATCATTTATAAAGAGTTATGAATGATACAGGTTGGCTTCCTACCACTATTTCATTCTATCTTCTTTTCGATTTCTTTCTTTCCTTTTTTGGAGAGGGGGAAGGAGGTGAATAGTTTCCAATAAAAGTTAAATTACGTTTTTGTTTTCATTAAAATATTAATTTATTAATTAAAAGAAAAAATATCAAATAAAAAAATTTCAAGAAAATGAACTGCTAGAAAAATTTACAATTGGAGATAAATAAGCACAAAAAATAAAATATTTCCTAATTATGCATTTAAGAAATTAATATTCTTTTTTTTTTCAACTTACGTAGTTTTCTTCTTTTTTTCTAAACGAACTTTTTGATGTTTATGTTATTCTAATGTTACTTCCTTTCAGGTTATATTTGATAATTTAAATACATTTAGTGTCGGGAAAAAACTAAATAAATGTATCTTTTAAAATTTCATGAATCGAATTTACCCTTATGGCTTCCAATTTGACTTCAAATTCTGTACTTATGAAGTCTTTAGTTTTATTTACTTTCAAATTGCGCTTAATAATTTAGATTTACTTGATGGTGGGGAATAAATAAATGAAAAATGAATCAAAGTAACGCTTTTTCAGGGTGCATAGCCAAATTTTTCAATAAAAAATAAACACGTTTAAGCACTTTTAAAAAAAAAAAGTAAAATTAGGATATGATGAGTAATAAAATTATTTTCTTCCCATTGATAAAAATTCTTATTTTTTATTTATATTCTAGCTGAATACCCGTTTTTCGAACGGAGTGAGAAAAAAGTAAACAATCAATACATCAGTATTGAAAAACACAACGAAATCATGCATAAAACTGAAGGACACGGGGGGGGGGAGGGGAGATTCTGGTAAAATTACCGTTCTGTATGGTAATAACTAAGGCCCGGATTTTGATGACATTTGCATTTTTTTTGCATTTTTGGACATTTTTTGTCTTTTAGAGCATTTTTTTAGATTTATAGGGCATTTTTCTTGAAATTTTGGGGCGTATTTTGCATTTTAATGCATTTTTTAAAGTTTTCTGTTAATTTTTTACAATTTTTATTATTTTTTATCAATTTTCATTATTACACTGGCTTCCAAACAATGAAGAAAATCTATAG